CTATCTAGTTCAATAACGTCTCTCTTTTGAACTTTGAATGAAATAAAATGGGCTTTATATTTTTATATTTTAATATGGCCGAATCATAAAGATTGCCTACGTATTTGTATTACGAAATCAGGTCTTTGCGTAGTTCTAATTTGTTTTAATATTATTATGCATTTTTTTTATTTTTTTCTTTATCTCTTAGATAGAAATTAAATGAAGAAATTAATCAAACCTTGTTTAAAAGAATTAAATAAAAGTTTAATTTTATTTTCCGAGTATATGTTATATTTAAGAAACACCCTTGTTTTACCGTAAGTAGAAATCACAACTTCATTCAAATGCAAAAATTCGGGTTCGCAGTTCGTCATCAGGTGGCGCGCGCAACTTCTGGAGTTGCGCGAGCCTGTCGCGCGCAACAAAATTAGTTGTGCGTGACATCCACGCGCAACTATTCCAGTTGCGCGCGACACCTGTGCTACGAATATCTCCAAAAATATTTCTTTAAAAAATCGTATTATTACCCTCCCCCCAAGTGTGAAGATTTTTTCGTGATGTTTGAAAAAATTTGAACACTTCGAACGGTTTTTTATTATTTCTAAATTACCCCCCCAAGTGTTATGTATTTTACCGTGTTATTTGGTAAAATTCATAATACTTAGAATCTTTCAATTGAATGCTTAATTAAAAAATGGTTGTATGAGTGAACGTGTTTTATTCGGATTTCATATGTAATATTTCTTAAGGTGATCAATGTTTATTAATTGGTGAATTTCATCTCCTCCAATATCCATTAATCTGACGGCTCCTCCTGATAGGATTTCAATTACACGGTATAGACCTATCCAATTAGGTTTGAATTTCCCTCTTGGATCGGTTGGTGGACCCCTAACCTCCTTTAGTACAAAGTCACCTTCTTTTGTGTTTCTAGGTTTTACTCTTTTATTGAAATGACGCGCAATGCGCCTTTGGTAGACTTATACATGATTCAAAGCTCTTAATCGTCATTCTTTGAGGAATAAAATCTCTTCATACCTCGCTCTTACCCATTCACCTTCCGGTAGCTTACTTTCAAGTACGATGCGTAGGGATGGTATTTCCAGTTCGACTGGTTGAACTGCGTCCATTTCGAAAACTTAGGAGTATGGAGTTACTCCTATTGATGTCCGTATAGACGTTCTATAACCCTATAATGCGAAGTGTAGTTTATTCGGCCAGTCTTTGTAATTTTCTGCCATTTTCTTAATGATGACTATTATATTTATATTTGCCGACTCTACAGCTCCATTCATTTGAGGTCTATATGGGGATGAGTGATGATGTTTTACTTTATAACGAGTTAAGAGGGTCTTGACTTCAGCTTTGAATTGAGATTCCTGATCACTAATTAGTTCATGTGGAACTCCATATCTACAAAATATGTTTCGTTCGAGAAACTTTGCGACATGTTTAGAAGTGATATTCACGTAAGAAGCAACCTCAATCCACTAAGTAAAGTAATCAATGGTAACTAATATGTACTCGTGCCCTCCTAATCCTGTTGGAGAGACTTTTCCAATTATGTAAATTCCCCAAGTCGAAAAAGGCCAAGGGAAAGTGAGATTGTATAGTTCGGATGGTGGAAGGTGTTGTAAATTAGCGAACATTTGGCACTATGGACATTTTTTAACATATTGTATGCAATCATGTTTCATAGTGGACCAATAGTACCTTTGTCGTGAAATTATTTTTGAAAGCATTTTACCTTTCATGTGAGGACCACAAACACCTTTGTGAGTATTTTCCATAAGACGTGTGGCTTCCGATTGGCCTATACATAGTAAGCTTTGACCATTAGGTCCTTTTTTGCATAATTGACCATTTATTAGACCATATTGGGCCACAAGTGTTTGTAAGGCTTATTGGTCTTTCGATGAAGTATTGTCGGGATATGTGCCATGAGTAATATATTGGATGATATGATCATACCAAGGACTGTCTCCTTCAATGTCATTTATTTCCTCTATTGCGTTGCAATACGCTGGTTCTTCTCATCTATCAACGCATAATGGCATCATATTTAAGTGATCTGGAATGTTGATCATTGAGGCTAATTTTGCTAGCAGATCGACAAATTGATTGTCATCCCTTGGGAGATATTTAAAATCAATATGTTCAAAATGCTCGATGAGTTTCTCTAGGTGTGCTTGGAATAATATCATTGTGGAGTTCTTTATTTTCCATTTTTTTAATATATGATATATAATCAAACTAGAGTCTCCATATACCTCTAATTTTTTTCACACCTATGCTAGCCGCTACTTCTAGTCCAATAATGCACGCTTCACATTCTGCGGCATTATTAGTAACCTCAAAGTCTAACTTAACAGAGATTAGAGTATGTGCTCCCTCTGGACTTATGAGTAACAATGTTACGCCACATCCTTTTTGATTGGACGCACCGTCGAAGTACATTACCCATTTGTCATCTTTTGTCATGAGAATCTCTTCATCCTGAAGATGAGTAGTTTCTACACGACTTGTTTGAATTGGATGTTGCACCAGAAAGTCAAAAATTACTTTTCCTTTCATTGATTTTTCAGGAATATATTTTAGCTCAAATTCAGCCAACATCACCAACCATTAGATATCCTTTTTTGTATTGGTGGTTGTTCAAACAAATACTTTATCGGATTTTGTTGAGAAATCACATGAGTAGTGTGTGGTAACATATAATGTTGTAACTTTTTTGTTGCCCACACTAATGCTAGGCTTGTCTTTTCCAAGGTGCTATATTTTGTTTTGTAATGGATGAATTTTTTACTTATGTAATATACTGCACGTTCGACTTTTTCTACCTCTTATGCTAACATGGCGCCTGTGGCTGTGTCTGTAACTGTAATGTACAGTCTAAGAGGTAGTTTGGGTACTAGTGGTGCTAAAATTGGTGGACTTTTGAGATAATATTTGATTTTCTCAAAGGCCTTTTGGCATTGATCGTCCCATTCATTTTTCTCCTCTTTTTTCAATTTTTTAAATATTGGCTCACAAGTCATAGTCAATTTGTTGATAAATCGACTAATGTATTGTAATTTGCCAAGGAATCCCCTAATTTCTTTTTATGTTTGACGTGGAGGCATGTCAACAATTGCCTTTATTTTAGAGGGATCGATCTCGATGCCATGTGTGCTTACTACGTATCCGAGTAACTTACCAGAAGTTACTCCGAAGGTGCATTTTTGTGGATTCAATCGTATTTTATATTCTTTTATGCTAGTGAAAAATTTGCGTAAAGCTTTTATATGTCCCATTCTATCTTTGGACTTTACGATCATATCATCCACATACACTTCTATTTCTTTATGCATCATATCATGTAAGAGAGTCGTAGTCGTTCTTTGGTACGTAGCTCCTGCATTTTTTAAACCAAATGGCATGACTGTGTAGCAATACATACCCCAAGGGGTAATAAAGCATGTCTTTTCTTCATCTTCTTTTTCCATTAAAATTTGGTTTTAACCTGCGTATCCATCCATAAAGGATAACATCGCATGTTAAGCCGTGTTATCTACCAATATATCAACATGTGGTAGAGGAAAATCGTCTTTAGGGCTAGCTTTATTAAGATCCCTAAAGTCGACACACATGCGAACTCGTCCATCCTTTTTAGGGACTGGAACGATGTTCGCTACCCATCCTGGGTAATTACATATGCGAATAAAACCGGCGTCCAACTGTTTTTGTACTTCTTCTTTTATTTTTAAGGCGACATCAGGTTTCATTCGTCGAAGTTTTTATTTTACTGGTTTAGAAATAGGGTTTAAGGGAATGTTATGTTCCGCGATTTCCCTATGTATTCCAGGCATGTCCTTGTATGACCACGCAAACACGTCTTCAAATTCTTTGAGCGTCGATATTAGGGTCGATCGCTCTTCCGGATTTAGAGTAAAGACAATTTTGACTTCTCTCTTATTTTCGTTAGTTCCTATATTATCTATTTCAGTTTCTTCAATGATAGGGTTCTTTTGTTCTCGTTCATTCATTAATTCAACCAATTTATTAATGTTATCATCTTCATTAGATTGATCGTTATAGCATTCGAAAGATTCTAGAGAAGGCATATACTCGGAAATAGAGCTCGTATTATTAAAATCAAAAGAGAGTTCATCAAGAGAAGAATCCTTTTTGGGATCTTCGTCCTTAGAACTAGAAAATAAAGACTCAGTAATGGCCACAAGGCCTAAATTTTCAGCTTCCCTAGAGTCTATAATAAATTCATCTTCCGATTCTTTATACATATTCCCTTTGCCTGTGACGATTTCCAGTTTATCGCCTTTGTGATTGATCCATTTGAAAGATTTCCTCCGTCCATGCTCAAAAGTTTCGTTTGAAGGGGTGATCAACGAGGTTGGATCAAAAGCCTCATCTTGAATGGCGTTTGATTGGTCATTGTTGCGACATGATTTTGCTCTAGTCCAAATAGCAAGTTAAATGCTTGCCCATCATAGCACCCTAGAGTTGGGCGTTTTGATTTAATGATACTAAGATCGTCATCCAAGAAGTAGCAATCATGAAATATTTCAAATCCACGCTTCTTGATTCCTTTAAAAACTAAGGGTTCCGGAAAGTCGTAGCATGGGTAATCTTCTCCTTCCCTAATGAATTGTCCATTAAGGGTTTGTTGATAGGATGGCAGAAAAGTGATTATCCCTTTCATATTATTGTCTCTACGTGCTTTGTTTTTTGCATCGTGAGACTCCAATTCTTCTTTGGTTGGTTTATTTCCCAATCCAAAGGAGAAGCTTTTCTTTGGGATAGGAAATAAGAGAGATTTCTTCATTCCTATTCCCAAAGGCATCCTAGAAAGTAACTACTCTTGAGCAAGATCTTGTTTACTATCCAAGTGGACACTTGTAGAAAAATACAAAAAGGCACCGCTCTATGGCCACCGGTTTTTGAAAACCGGTGGCTAAAAAAATGGGCGGGATAGGCTAATTCACATTGCCACCGATTCAAACCGAACCGGTGGCATAAATGATAAAGGCCACCGGTTTGAACCCGTGGCCATAATCAATTAAAAAAAAAAACGCCCCCCTTATAAACCCCAAACCCTACCTCATTTCCCTCTTAGCCTCTCTTTCTCTCTCCTTCTCTCCCCTCTCCTCTTTCTCTCTCCTGCTCTCCCCTCTCTTCTTTCTCTTTCAATTCGACCGCTCTGTTCTCTTGCGCTTCTCCTTGGTCTCCTTCTCCCTCTTCTCCTTCTCTATCAATTCCACCATCACCAATAAACCACAAAGACATGCACCACGAAGACATGCACGAGGTTTGTGTTTAATTAATCGATTTTTCTTGGTTAATTAATCGGATTTTGTTGGGTCTAATTGTTTGATTTTCTGGGTTTAATTAATCATTTTTGGAATTTTTTGAGTTTCTTAATCGATTTTAATTTGGTTTTTAATCGATTTTAATTAATTAATTCTGGGTTTTTGTTTTTTGAGTTCATGAATCAATTTCTTGTTTTTTTTTTCCTCGGTTTAACTTATTTCTGGGATTTTGTTTTTATTTTTTTTAAATTTTTTTTTCTGGGTTTTCTTCTGGGTTTTTCTTTCATTACTAGTTATTGATTTTCCTGGGTTAATTAGTAGATTTTGGATTTTTTGAGTGTTTTCATCGATTTTTAATTGATTTTAGTCGATTCTAAGTCGATCTCCTTCTGGGTTCATTCGATTTAATTCTGGGTTTTTTTTTAGTTCGTGAAAATCAATTTGTTTTTTTGAGTTCAATTTAATTCTCATTTTGTTTTTCATTCTCGTTTTGAAAATCAATTCGATTTTTTTTTAGTTCGATTTAATTCTCGGGTTTTCACTAATATCTGGGAATTTTGTTTAATTTTTTTTCTGGGTTTTTTTCTCTTTTTTTTTCTGGGTTTTAGTATTCTGGGTTATTTTTCTGGGTTTTTGTTTAATACCTGGGTTTTTTTTTATATTTTTGTATGTTTTTTCTGGCTTTATTTAACCGATTTAAATCTATTTATGGGTACCATGCATACTGTTCTGGTTTTTATTTTTATTTTGTAGCTTATTTATTTTATTTAATCGATTTTTTTTGTTTGATGCAGGTATATTGATTTAGATGTAGATGTTAAATCGAAGAATAAAGATATTAATTTAGGTGTTATATGGGTTATTTTTTAATTTTAATGTTGTAATTTTTTTTTTGGTTTTTTATTGTAATTTTTTTTTTAATGTTGGAATTTAGTTTTGTGTAATTTGATTAATTTAGTTCTTTTAAATTGGAATTGTTGTATGAGTAATTTAGTTTTTTCACTCTTAAAAAGTGTACAATTACTAGATACTGATGAATATATATGTGTTTTTATGTATTTTACATATATATATAGTTTCTACTACAATTTAAGTGAAATAAATGCAAAAAAATTTTTTTTTTTTTTGTTTTTTATGGGCATTATTGCCACCGGTTAACCGATGGAAATATTTGTTTTTGCCACCGATTTTGAACCGATGGCTTTTTAATAAGATTATTGCCACCCCCCAAATGGCCACCGGTTCAAAACCGATGGCATAGGGGGGTTTTGAACCGGTGGCCAATTCATATTTTCGTCTAGTGGGAATATGGATCAAGCTCCTTCCATTTCAATTGTGAATATTGGCTCCACGGCAAATCCCCACATGTCATCTTCATCATTATCATGGTTTATTTCTAAGAGTGATTGATCATTTATTGCTATTTTGAGTGGAGAAGCATGTATAGTCATAGGAAGCCCTTGATAGTTCAACCTAATCATTTGATGAAGTGAGGATGGTATTTTACCAAGCTCATGTATCCAAGGATGTCCAAGTAAAAGGTTGAATGTAGGTTTTATGTCCATAACATGGAATTCAACAATCTTTTGAATTGGGCCTGTGGTAATTGGAAGCTTAACAGTTCCACACACCGATCTTCTCGAATTGTCATAGGCCCTTATGCTTTGTTTTGTTGATTGAAAATCTTTTTCTAGATTTAGGCCTAAGTATTTTTCTATTCATAATGGGCACACGTTTACAGCCGACCCATTGTCTACCAAAGTTAGAGGGATATTGTATCCTTTGCATCCTACAGTTAAGTATAACGCATTGTTTTGGGTAATGTCATTTAAAGGCAAATCATCGTTAGTGAAAAAGATTGACTTGTCGGATTTCTCGCTAGTAAGCAAGCTAACGAGGTCTTGAGGGGTTGTGTCTATGCTTACAGACAAATCCGTTAGAGCGTTCATGAGAGAATTCCTAAGTTCTTTAAAATTACTTAGGAGTTCCCAAATGCTAACATTCGCCTTAGATTAGCGAACTTGTTTGACCAATGGATCTTCCACCTCAAGTGGAGGTGGTATTGTATTTTGTGTTTGAGCTTGAGTTTGATTTTGTGTGGTCGAAGATCCATTTGGTGGTGGTGCTTGGTAGACTCGCCCTGAACGAGTTAAATGATCTATCTCATTTGGGTTAGTCATAGGACTCATAAACCAACTTTCTTCTAGAGGCTTTGAATGTGCCTCCATTTCAAGATGCTCCATGAGTTGTGCTTGATGCCATTGTTCATCCAAAGAGAGATTCGATAAATCTTGCGATTTCCCCAAGAAATGATCCCAATCAAGCGCTCCATTTGTTTCATTTTGCAAACAAGATGGAGGTGGGACGGAGGCATACTTAGAGACATATAAGTCTTGAAAGTCGTCGCCCCATAGTCCACATACTTCATTAGTTGCCCCTATGAGTATTGTGGATAGAGGTTTTCCTATGGGTGTGATATAGTCCAAAGGATTGAACGTATCACTTCCCATATGGTCTTCATCGTTGTGAAACACCCCTAAGGGGGATGCATTATTGTTAGGTTTAGGCGTGGGAATTTTCCCATCGTCTACTAAATCTTGTATCTTGTGTTTTAAAACATAGAAACGTTTAGTATCGTGTCCAACGCCTCTATGATAAGCAAAATAAGCACTACCATTCCATTGAGGAAACCTCCTTTCTGGTGGAGTGGGTGATGTTGGCCCTGTTGGGGCAAGTAAGTCCTTTTCATTTAATTTTCTAGCAATTCTTTATAGCTTACAGGAAATGGAGTAAATTTTCTCTCTTTTGTCCATCTTTTTCTAGGATCATCATATCAATTTGTGTTATCGTATTGCGTGGAAGTCGCAAAACGTCAATAAAGGATGATGCATTATCATTCCCCTTCTTGTAGTTATTCTTAGGTTGATGATGATAATGAGGTTTGTTTGCTTTTCTTTAGCAAAATCATCTTCAATCCTAGTAGCCACAGAATAGACCTTTTGAAAAGTGTCTAGACCAAGGTAACATAGAATGTTTGTTGTACTTTTCATGGCAGTTGTCAATGAATTTTTGTACTAACTCGAGTTCAAGAGGCCTTTGGGCAAGGTGTGCCGCCTTTTCTCGCCATCTACCATTGAAAGCAAGGAAACCTTCATCGTCGCCTTGCTTAAGCATCTCAAGTTCACGTAAAGTTGACTTGAACTGTATGTTACTCTCGTATTGGGTGATAAAAGCCGAAACTACATCTTCCCATGTTGCTTTAAATTTTGGATCTAGCCCATAGTACCACTCTCTCGCAGTTGGGTCTAGTGATAAAGGGAAAGTCAAGGCATAAAGCTTAGGATCAACTCCCTTTAGTGCCAGTAAAACATATTAAATGATTTTGTGGATTATTGGTCACCTTAAATATTGGCAAGTCAGTAGCTACAAACTTTTCCGGTAAAGCAAGTCCTGGGGGAGGAGAAAACTCTTTTGCGTCAAAGTACTTGTCCCCCATTGTAGAACGAAGAACTAGCTTCTCCAACGACTTTTCTTTGATGGATAATTGCTCCATCATTTCTTGTAAGGCTAACGCTTCAACTTTTTTCTTTTCAGCATTTTCCATCTTCTTAATTCTTCTCTCCTCGGCCTCTTGAGCCTTTTCCTCTCTCATACGAATAATCTCTTGTTGAAGTTCTTCGACGGTTGTCATTGTTGTTGGACTAGGATTAGTTGTCGAAGGAAAGTAGTTTGAAAGGGGTTGATCTTTGGGTGGTAAACGTAGAATGCGAGTGCCCGGGGGTCCTCTTTCCTAAGCTTGAAAACCGATCCAAAAGGAGTACGAAAGGATAAGTAAATCGATACACTTGTTTTTTAAAAGCAAAAGAAGAAAGACGCAAAATATATTCAAACGGATAACATCGCCCTTAACAATTCTTTAATGAAGATATTGTTCGGACGAGTCAATTTTTTTTTGAGAAATCAAAACTGACTCGTCTAGTGGGCGCGCGCAAGTGACTCAGTTGCGCGCGGCTGTCGCGTGCAAAAAAATTACTTGCGCTGGGAGGGGTCGCGCAACTTCTTGAGTTGCACGCGCCACCTGCTCGTAATACTTTTTTTTTAATCCGAGCGTTTTTTTATTTGATTTTTTTTACTTGACCCTTTATTTTTTGTATATTATCCTTTGAATGTGACGCTAAATCACGAAAGGACAACTTCGTAATTGGGAACCTAGACCAAACTAAAAAAAAGAAGAAAAAGAAGACTATCCTAACACGTTGCACATAGTCACATAATCACATAGGCATGTCATAAGTCCAGACTCACGCAATGTCGTTCTAGGGTCAAAAAAGGCTTTGGTGTACGAAGGTATCATACCTTAAGAAACGACGCATAAATCAATCACTCAACGTGTTGACCCATGACATCACCCTCCAATCATTTTGTTGGTGATATGGGTGGGATGATCGTTATTGATTTTGGGATAGACGCCTAGTGTTGGCGACCCCTAGTCAATGAGCCAATCCCCAATGGTTTAAGTGTGCTATGCTTATGCATGATGCAATGTTGCTTGTTTGGTTTTTACTCTTGTGCAAAAGGAATATATTATGAGTTCAAGTCTCGCTCTCTAACTAGAGATTATCCAAGTTAATTCTCGTTACAACCCATAGGCAACCTAGTGTTGGATACCTTGGACCATAACTACGAATTAATCATGTAACCTCTAAGTCCCTAGTGGAATCACCATTGAAAAGAGGGTGATCCCATCGTAAGGGGTACTCTCCTTAAATGCCCTTGGCCACTTAAAAGCCTAGGACTTAACACTTGTTAGGGTGTAGTAGGATTTGAATTCCTAACTGTTTGGGGGACCTTGAATTAGAATTGATTCTATCACCACGCTTTTTTGTAAGAAACAAGTAGGAGTCGCCAATATGTTTTAGGAAAAACTCATAAACCTCGTTCAAGCCTTTCTTTCATGTGGAGTTCCTGGAATAATTAGCACAAATCATAAGTTTACCCATGCCCAAATTGGTCTATAAACCAGAAATGAGTTCAGGAGCGAGGGTACTAAGATAACGTTCCTTTTAGAGGGGAATCGTCATCCTAGCCCTAGTACAGCCTCTACTAGCTCTTCCTTTTTACAATTTCATCACCAAACAATATATGTGTTTTTGTCCCTCGGGAGAGTTACGTCACAAAGATTGGTCTGGCTGAGCTGTACCTGCAAAAACAACGGAGACCCCGGGGGGTGTAGCTCCGCCTCCGACGATCAAGTTAGTAACTTGAAAGAAAATAAAGAGTACGGAAATTTAGGTGAGGATCTGCTTGGATTCCAAGCTCAGGGGTTTCTCTGATGAAAGAGAAAGTAAGTGTAATAAATGATTAAATGTGTCCCCAAAATGGAGAAATATCTCCCTATTTATAAGGTCGTTGGTAGAAGTGCCCCAATCTAGGCCACTTGACCTAGGTTTTAGCGGGCTACGCCGAATTACGACGCTTCTTGGGATTTGGACCCTTGAAGGCCGCCATTTTAGAAGCTTATCTGCAGGGGACACGTGTCAGGAGGCTATTGGGCCACTTGGCCATCCTTAACTTGACACGTGGCCTCCTCTCATTGATCCACATGTCAGGGTATTTTTACCCTAAACATTTGCCCCTCACAGGGGTCACGTGAATGTCATGTGACGCCTGTGACACGTGTCCACCTATCAAAGGTGAACGGTAACAATGGATAGTAAATTTAAATTTCAAACGGGGATGCCCCCGTTTTCACCTTCTATAAATAGAAGTTTACCCACCCCCCCTTCTCTCACTTCATTTTTATTATACTTTGTAGAGAGAGAAAAAGAGATTTTTAGAGAGAGATTCTCTACTTCCGTCTACGTCAAAGTTTTCCAGATTTCTGTGTGCTAACCTTGCAACACCCGTTCACCGTCTGTAGCTGTTTTCAGATTTTTCAGAGTCAAAAGTAAGGTAATCGCCTGTACCATTTTTAGTTTTTCTTTTCCAACTTGTATACATTCTTTTTTCCGCCTGTATACATAGTCTTAGAAATAAAATGAATTCTCAATCCACACACTCGGC